TCCCCCTGTCTTCCTAACGTATAAAAAACTTCTTATAGGTCTCCATTTTGGGAAATCAATGGTACTTTGCATTTGTGAGTGACCCCCATTTGCAAACTTTTTAAAAAATTTTGAATAAAGACACATTTCTTTTCTCTTTCACTTAAGAACTTGGTTTATTTCAGGATCTGACAGTACCCTTTCATCTATCACAAAAATCTATTTTATGGTAACTTTGGAGGCCACAAAACCCAGGAAAGACTTGAGAAGAAGAGTTTAGTTTGTAAGAAACTTGAAAGAAGAGTCAGTATTCTTCTGGGGAACTCAGACCCTGAATCAGCAAGTCTGTGAACCTAGGAATCTTGATTTCCTTATAATGGAGAATCATTGGGTCATAGGAGCCACAGTGAGGAGGGATCTAAATCTCCTGCTCAGATGGCCTCATTTTACAGATGAGGAAATGGCAGCCACAAAGCCAATAAGCAGAATGTCTGGAATGGCCATAGAGAGAGAAGGCATCTTGCTTTCCCTGTGAGCATGACTATGGAGTAATGAGATCTATTCTTTAATTTATACATCCCAATGAATGATAGACTTCAAATCCATGGATGCAATGAAAAGAGCATATGATTTGATTTCTGAAAACTTGGGTTCCCCTAAAAAAAAAAAGACTCTGCCTGGGGCAGGTAGGTGGCACAATGGATAAAGCACTGGCCCTGGAGTCAGGAGGACCTGAGTTCAAGTCTGACCTCAGACACTTGCTAGCTGTGTGACCCTGGGCAAGTCTCCTTGATTGCCTTAAAAAAAAAAGACTTTGCTCAGAAAATTTAGGTTCCAGTCAGGCTCTGCTACTTACCATCTGTGTGATCTTAGGCAAGCTGCTCCCTTTCTCTGGGCTGCAGTCTCCACATTCGTCAAATAAGGGAGTTGGGTTCAAGGATCTCCAAGCTTCTTTCCAACTCTAGGTCAATAATCTTGTTGATCCCATAAGGTGATCCTCTTGAGAAGCTATACTCTGGTATCAGGTATCAAAGAAATGCCATAGGGCAATATATTTTTAATTCCTCTTTGGAACTGTTGGACCATGCAGAAAAACTACCCTCTTTATTCAAGTCACACCTAATGTTGGGTCCAATACAATGACTTCCAGATTTCTCAGACACTTAATTCACCGACTATGTCCATACGTGACCATCTGCTATCTCTAAAAACCCAATCTACTTTCTGAAGATAAAGATTCCTCACCACCAAGCATATACCAAATGGTTGCATCACAGGGTATCCTCCAAGAAGAACAATGGTGGCATCCTGGGAATAGGTGAGAGGGCATCCTCTTGACAGTTACTCTTAGAAGAGAACAACATTCATCTGGTTGGATCCATTCTGGTTTGTTCATTAAAAACAACCTGTCAACAAGGTAGAGTGGCTAGAATGACTAGCCTAGAGTTGGAGAGACCTGGATTTGAATTCTGCCTCTTGTCCTACTAAGCAAATCATTTAGCTCCTCAAAGTCTCAATTTCTTGGTCTTAAACCAACATCATTCAGTTGTTGCATGGACCCAATGAACTATTCTGTGTAGAAGTGTTTAGCAAACCTTAAAGCATCATCTCAATCAACCCATGTGGTAATGGATAGAGCACTGCACTTGGAGTCAGGAAGACCTAGATTCAAATCTCACTTCAGACACTTACTAGCTGTGTGATCCTGACCAAGTTACTTCACCTCTTTCTACCTCAGTTTCCTCATCTGAAATGAATGCATTCGATTCAATATCAGTCCCTTCCAGCTCTAAATCTATGACCTTAAGTGTCTAGCTATGCTAGGGTTATAAAGACAAAAAATAATTCCTGACCTCAAGGAGCCCAATGAAGGAGATAATATGTATATGTAATACACATATACATGTGTACATATTATATATGTATATTTTATATGTAGATATAGAGATAGGTAGATAGATAGATAGATAGATAGATAGATGGGTACATGGATGGATACATGGATGGACAGATAGATAGATAGATAGATGCACAGACAGATATAACCTATACAGAGCCATTGAGAAGACCAGGAAAAGCCTCCTACAGAAGGTTACAAAAGCTGAGGCTTGAAGGATGGGAGGGATCCCAAGAGAAGGAAGGGAAGAGGAGTGTGTATTCCAGGCATGGGAGACAGCCAATACAATGGTGTGAAGGTAGGAGGCAGAGAGTCTTATGGGAGGAACTATTAGAAAGTCCATTTGGCCAGACATAGAGTACACACTGGGCTGGAGCGGATATATAAGGCAAGAAAAGTAGGACGGGACCAGATCATGAAGGGCTTTAAATGCCAAATTGAGGGGAGGAGATTTATATTTGATCCTGGAATCAATAGGGAGACTGTGAATATTTTTTTTGAGGGAGGGGATGTCATGATTATACCTAAGCTTTAAGAAAATTACTTTGGCAGCTGTGTGGAAGATGGGCTGAAATGGGGAATAGACTTGAGGCAGGGAGATCGATTAGGAGGACACTGCAGTGATCCACGTGGACAGTGATGTGACAATAAGCTAGAGTGAGAAATGTGTGCTATTGTGGCAGCGAATCTCATTGAGACAACGTGGGAGAGTGGAGGACATTGGATTATAAACCTCAGAGACCTAGGCTCCAGCCCTTTCTCAGGGGCTATCTGGCTGTGTGTTCTTGTCCAATTCACCCAGCTATTCCAGACTTCAGTTCCCTTGCTTCTAATAATGAAGGTATAAGGACACTAGAATCAATTATTTCAAGTCCCAAACCCCAGGCTTCTCTCTCCCTTCTCCCTTAAAGGTAGCTGTCCATGGAGACCTTGGCATACTATTTTCCCTCTTGGGGACCTGGCATTCCTGTCTACAAAACATCTCATCCTTAACTTCTTAAAACATTCAAATCAGAGAATTTTAGGATTGAATGAGATCTCAGGAACCATCTAGTCCAATCCTCTACTTGGCATCAGGCCCATTCTACAACATCTCCATGTGGTCCTTTATCCTCTTGGAGATATCCCATTTCCACCCCAGACAATCCATTCCCCTTTGGGCTCGTTCTTAGTGATAATTGGTTTTCCTCACATATAGCCCACACTTGCCTCTCTAAAGCTTGTCACCATGTTTCCATCCAAGGCTGTTCTCCAGGTAAAAGTGATCCAGTAACCTCAAAAGAAGCTGTGAGGTATAGTGCATAGAATTCTAGACTTGAATCAGGGATGAGTAAACTCAGCTTGCTTTGTGTGTAACTTTGAGAGAGTTGCTGAACCCGAAACTCAGTTTCTTCATCTGTAAAATGAGGATAATAATACCTATGTTAGTTACCTTGCAGAATTATTGTGAGGTTCAGATGAGATAAGATAAATAATATGTATAAAATGCTTTTCAAAACTTAAAAATGCTATCTAAGTGTGGTTAGTTACTAGTAACTATTACTATTTATATTATAATTTTTTACTATTTATTTTTACCATTTTATTATTATTCTACTATTACTACTTATATTTACTGTTAGCACAGTGGACAATTCAAATCCTACCTTGACCACTTACTAGCTGTATCACCCTGAAGAAATCATTTGGCCTCTCAACCTCAGTTTCCTCATTTGTAAAATGGGGATAATAATCACACCTAGCTCCCAGGGTTGTTGTGAGGATCAAATGAAATAGCATATGTAAAGTGCTTCATAAACCTTAGAACACTATATAATTGCTAGTTATTATTGTTAAAATTATTATCCTGTTTTTTCTCCTCATCTGGAGAATTCACAGCATAGGGTTCAAATCCTGACTCTGCTACTGTGTATCCTTAGGCAAATAATCTCACCTCTCTGGGCCCATTTCGTCCCCTATAAAATGAAAAGATTTGGGAAAGATGGTGTCTGAGATCCTTTTTGGTTTTAAATTCTTTCCCAGAAGGGGCAGCTAGGTGGCACAATGCATAGAGCACTGGCTCTGGAGTCAGGAAGACCTGAGTTCAAATCCAGTCTCAGACACATAATACTTCGCAGCTGTGTGACTCTGGGCAAGTCACTTAACCCCAATTGCCTGAATAAATAAATAAATAAATAAATAAAATTTAAAAAAATCTTTCTCAGGCATTGAGATTTTAGAATTTTATAGTTCTATTACAGGTATTGTTCTATCTATCAGAAGTACTAGTATCCTCATGTTACAGATGAAGAAACTTAGGCTCACCCACTCACCCAAAATCACAAAGACAGAACTACAGAAAGGAAGGTTTTATTTATAACCACAGAAGGAAGGACTCAGAAACCATCTTGTCTAACTCATACCCAAAAAGGAATTCCCACTGTACAACCCCGACAAATGGTCACCCAGCCTGTGGTTCTTGCTAGTTTCAGAGCACTGAGCCAGGAAGGCTAAACTTTCCCCCAGGACCAGTTCCTTACAAGTCTTGCCAAAGGATGCAAATCGCCAGCGGGCAACCTCATGAGGCAAGGGCTTCCCCAACCTCTGGTCTAGACCAAAAGGAAAACTTTTATTTTCTCCTAGAAATTCTCCTTTTAAAATGTCCCATTCTCAGTAGCAGGATATCCACCAAACACCTAGAAGGGGATGACCTGGTCAGATTAGAGATGATCTGGTCCCACCTCTTCATTTTGAAAAGCAGGAAACGGAGGCTCAAAGTGCCTGAAAGTTGCTCAGGAAAGTTTTCATTATGCCTTTCGTCCAAGGGAATCAGTGAAGAGGAAATAAATCTTGTTTTGGGGAAATTGCACCGTAGAGGGTTATTACGACACCAATTGCGAAACCAGGGGCCAAAAAATGACAACAATAGTTTTTTGGAAATTCTAATGCATTTCCGGTTTCCAGTCCCTGACAGCGAGAGCCCTGCTGAATTTGGTGGGTGGCCTTTTTCTTTATAAGGAGTGGGACTTGAGTTACAATGGTAGGCAGACTGGTGGAGCCCACACTGGCCAAGGGTGCAAGATGGATCTCTGTGTGAGCCTCCGAGGCTTGCTGATCACTGTTCTCCTCTTCCTTTTTCATTCAGAAACAATGTCCCTCCCCTTTGAGAAAATGACCAGCAAGAAACAGGCCTACAGGTAAGTTGGTCACTTTATAGTTATTTTTGACTCTGTGCAAGGGTAGGCTGGGGGAAATCCGTAGGGGATGAATGCTTAGCTTTTAAAATGAATAGGGAACCTGGGCTGGCAAGGGCACTGGGGGAGGGCTTGCAAAGGAAAGAATGCTCCATCTACTGTTCAGAAAAAGGGGAGATAGTTGGACCGGCTCTTGGGGAGGAAGCCTACCTGAGAGGAAGCGTATTGGATTTGGAGTCAGGAGAGAAGGCTCCTCGTATGAAGGCTTTAACAATCCTCAGCTGTGTGACACAGGGCAACCTGATAACTGACATTTCTATGATAGAGTGAAGGTCACAAAGTCCTTTGCCTGTGTGATCTCACTTGAATGTCTCAACAAGTGTGTATGATTACAGCGACTATTACCATCTCTATTTTATGGAAGAGGATTCTGCTGCTCAGAGGGGTTAAGTAACAGCTAGGGAAGTAAGAGAGGGGACATTTGAGCCCTCACCTTTCCTGACACCAGGTCCAGCACCCTACAAATTATGCCAAGCTATTAACTCTTGGGCAATTCTCTTAACTGATCTGAGACTCAGTTTCCTCATCTATTAAAATGGGGATAATAGCACTTTTAATAACAACTTCCCAGGGTTACAATGAGGAAAATGCTTTGCAGACCTTACAGGGCTATGGGAATGGGAGTTGATATGATTTTCAAAACTGAAGGATCAAAAAAAAAAAACCCTGACTTGATGTTATGATTTCCACAAAGACTTTGGAAATTCAGCCAGTGTTTAAAAATTATGCTTGACAGCTTCTTTCCCCAGGACAATGCTGCCTGAGAGATAGAAATTCAGGAGAAGGGAACTCTGCTCAAGGGGGTTTTAATATCAGAAGTTCCCTGCAGACTTGATGGCCCAGACCCGGACGGCAGATTTTATATTAGCTATGCCCTGCTGCTACAGAACAACATATATACTTACCATGCTGTTCTGACCCACGTTTCTTTCCCTGCCCATCTGCTGGATTGGGGTCTATTATCTGCTGTATATTTCATATTCTAACAAGAGAACTTGCAGAAAGTTTTAGGAAAACTTCATTCTCCCAAACTTTTTCAAAGTAATGGTGTTTTGTTGGTGTTCAGTCACGTCTGACTCTTCTGTGATCCCATTTGGGGTTTCCTTGGCAAAGATACTGGAGCAGTTTGCCACTTCCTTCTCCAGATCATTTTACAGATGAGGAAACTGAGGTGAACAGGGTTATGTGACTTGCCTAGGGTCACACAGCTAGCAGGTGTCTGAGGCCAGATTTGAATTTGGGAAGATGAGTCTTCCTGGCTATCCACTGCACCACCTCGCTGCCGTTTTAGAATTGTAACGAGCGTTCCATGCATTTTCTTATTTGAGCTGTAATATGGGGATAACAACGCCTGCCCTGCCTGTCTCCCAGGCCCAGGGTGGGGATTAAATTGATCAATGTAAGCAGTTTCTCAGGGCTCCCAGCCTAAGGCTCGCACTAGGAGCTCTGGCCCTCTAAACCACGTGCCCTGGCTTTTCAGAATCTGGGACATCTACCAGAAGACCTTTTACCTGAGGAACAACCAACTTGTGGCTGGCTACTTGCAAGGCCCGAATACTAACCTGGAAGGTCAGTTGTGTGAGGAGTGTCAACGTGTGTGTGTGTGTGCATGTGTGCGCACGTGTGCATTAGTGTGCGTATGCGTATTGAGCCTTGGGGTCTGTGACGTTGGATTCAATCTCTTTAAACTCTAAATTCAAAGCCACTTTTTTTTCCAATTCCAAGCCCCTGCTAGACAGTGTTCATTTGGTCCCTAAGTCTGAAGCTTGACTCATGAGAGTAGCATGTTGTTATACCCTGGGCACTGTAACATTAGGGAGTCAAACAGATAAAAAGGCGTCCAGATCTAAAGTCGAAAGATACCTTAGAAACTATCTAGTTTAATTCCCCTCAACTTTACAAATGAAGAAACCGAAGCCACCGTGGGCTAAGTGAGCAGAGTCAGGATCTGAACACAGGTTCTCCTGTTCTAAGTCCAGAGAATTCTTTCCACTGCACCAGCTCTGCCATGAATGCTGGATGACCTTGGCCAAGTCTCTCTGCCTCCATGGGTCTATTTTTTCTCTATCTACACAAATGAGGAATTGGGCAAGTTTATTCCTAAGAGTCTTTCCACTTCTCATTCTGATTCCCCCTCCTCTCTATCTATCTCTCTTCCTCTAACACAGAAAGCCTAGAATTCAGTATTCTCTCTTACTCTACATCTCTCTCTCTCTCTCTCTCTCTCTCTCTCTCTCTCTCTCTCTCTCTTCTCTCTCTCTCTTCTCTCTCTCTCTCTCTCTTTCTCTCTCTCTCTCACTCTCTCTGGCTCTCTCTCTCTCCTCTTGCTCCTCCTCCTCCTCTTCCTTCTCCTTCTCCTTCTCCTTCTCCTTCTCCTTCTCCTTCTCCTTCTCCTTCTCCTTCTCCTTCTCCTTCTCCTCCTCCTTCTCCTTCTCCTCCTCCTCCTCCTCCTCCTCCTCCTCCTCCTCCTCCTCTTCCTTCTCCTTCTCCTTTTCCTTCTCCTTTTCCTTCTCCTTTTCCTTCTCCTCCTTCTCCTTCTCCTCCTCCTCCTCCTCTTCCTTCTCCTTCTCCTTCTCCTTCTCCTTCTCCTTCTCCTTCTCCTTCTCCTTCTCCTTCTCCTTCTCCTTCTCCTTCTCCTTCTTCCTTCTCCTTCTCCTTCTCCTTCTCCTTCTCCTCCTTCTCCTTCTCCTTCTCCTTCTCCTTCTCCTTCTCCTTCTCCTTCTCCTTCTCCTTCTCTCTCTCTTACACACACACACACACATACACACACACTCTTCCCCTTATAACATAAAAGTCTACACCTCAGGATTCTCTTTTATTCTATCTCTGCCTCTATCTCTCTCTTTCTCCTTATAACATGGAAAGTCTAGAACTCAGGGTTCTCCTTCCTTTCCCCATGAACATCAACTGTAAAAGGGCTCACCTACCAAGAGTAAGGGGGGAAGGAAAGTGAAGAAGGCCACCAGACAGCAGAGCTGGGAGAAATGGATCATAGTTAGAAAGAGAAAAGTCAAGGCTTGATGTAAGGAAGAACTCCCTAACAATTAAATAGAAATGGGACCTGTGATTTCGTTGGTAGAGAGAATTTTCCACTAAGGAAACTCCTCCCAATGCAGGCTGACATCTTTCCTGCAATTTAGAGTTTTGGAGAGTAGCCTTGGAGGGTAAAGGATTTCTCTAGGGTCACACAGCCAGTATGTGGCAGAGGTAGGCACTCAGGTTGAGGCTAGTTCTCTATCCACTCAGCTACACTGCCTCTGAGCAATTATCTCAAGGGATCTTGGTGGTTCCCCCTCCCTGGAGGTCCTTAAGCCAAGGTCAGATGACTGCTCATCAAGGATATTATAGAAGAAATTCAGGTATAGGTAAGGAATAGGTGGCCTCACAGGTCCCCCAACTCTGAGGTGAAATGGTGGCTCGCAACAGAAGACTTACCCAAAGATACTTAGCAAGGCTGCTGAGGCCTGAGACCTGCTCCTGGCTCATGGTTCTGTCTGTCTGCCCACCTCTCCCTCCCTGATACTCTAGGGCTCTCACTGTCCCCTCTGCTGTATTTTTTTTTTCCCAGAGAAAATTGACATGGTTTCCATTGAACCTCATTCTGTACTTTTGGGGATCCATGATGGGAGCCTGTGCCTGGCCTGTGTCAAATCTGGTGATACAGTCCAGCTCCAGTTGGAGGTAAGAATCTCTGCCCACACTATCATTCCATTAAGACCATCTTCTCTCTTCCACTATGGTGCCTTCTCATAACCATATCTGCTGAGGAAGTGTTGGCCTCCAGCATTTCCCCATCTCTATCAGAACTTGCCTATCCTATGTCCCATTCCCTCAATTCATTGCTCTCAGCTAGGAAAGGACTACTAATCATTCAATATGTTCACAGTTAGTTGTGTGACTGTGGCCAAGTCCTTTGCCTTAACTGGGACTTGGTTTTCTCATCTATAAAATGAAGGCTTTGGATTAGCTGATCCTGAACTTCCCTTCCAAGTCTTAAGAGTCTAACAATCTATGATTTAATGTGCTAAGATATTACCCTTCCCAGGTAAGAAGCCTTCTGTTTCCACTGTATATTATCTTGTACATACAATTTTTACACGTAAATTCTTATATTAGAATGTAAGCTCCTTGAAGGCAGGGACTTTTTGTTTTTCTTTTTATATTCCAAGCCTGGAATACTAAGGGCTTAACAGAGATTGTTGACTGACTAAAAGTGGCAACCCAATTTCCCCAGTCTAGAATCCTAGAATTACAAAATTTCAGATCTAGAAACGACTTCAGTGGTCCATCAATCCAGTCCATACACAAAAGCAATGTTTACCATGATACCGACAAGTGATCATTCCGTCCACCTTGGGTGGGTAAGAAGATTGTAGTAGATGATAGGTAGATAGACAGATAGATAACTGGATAGAGATAGACAGATAGAGAGAGAGATGGATGGATAAATAGATAGAAAAAATGGATAGATGGAGATAAATAGGTGAGTCAATGGATAGGTAGATGATAGATGGATACTTGCTTATGTAGGTAGATAAATAGACAGAGCATTTATTAAGCACCTTCTATGTGCCAGGCACTGTGCTGAATACCTTTCAGCTCCTGGGTTGGTAAAACAGAGTAAGATCATAAGTAAATCCTATTGAGAGAAAGTAAAATTCAAAACTGTGTCAAGGTCTTCATTGTTGTGCTGCTCTTCAAACAACCTTGATGATTAGAATGCACTGTTTTAAAAATATGTAAATAGGGCAGCTAGGTGGCACAGTAGATAGAGTTCTGGCCTTGGAGCCAGGAGGACCTGAGTTCAAATCCAGTCTCAGATACTTGACACTAACTGTGTGATCCTAGGCAAGTCACTTAACCCTGATTGCCTCAGAAAAAAATAAACCAAAAAAAAATAATAAAAATATGTAAATAAATATTTTTAAAACTTGAAATAAAAAAATACCCAGCATTTCACCCTTCCTAAGCTGAACTGAATGTGGTGGGGTTTTTGTGTGTTTTTTTTTTTAATGTCAAAGAATGGACCCAGCATGGCTAAGAACCTTTGCCATTTGGGGATTGTGCCTAGACTCAAAGAAGTATCTATTTTCAGAGCTGAAAAAGATCTTAGAGATGAATTAATCTAACCCCCTCCTTTTTATGGAGGATAAAACAGGCACAGAGCAGGGAAGGTCTATACCCCAGGACACACAGCTCCTCACGGATCTCTGTAGATTTGGCCTGGAGGTCCGCCGACTCCCTGAAGTTCATTTTTTCTCAGCTTCCATGACAGGCACTGCTTCTTCCTGGTTCTCCTCCTACCTCTCTCATGTGCCTTCTCTGTCTCTTTCACCTTCCCTTTTCCTTCTTCCTTTGCTCTACTCATCCCTAATAAGTTCATTATCCAACCATCTTGTTTCTCTGTCTCTAGGCAGTGAACATCACAGACCTGGACAAGGATAGAAATGAGTCCAAGCGCTTCACCTTCATCAAGTCTGAAAATGGTTCCACCTGCAGCTTTGAATCTGCTGCCTGCCCTGGCTGGTTCCTCTGCACCCAGGCGGACCCTGACAGGCCAGTCAGCCTTTCCAACACTCAAACGGAGGCCATCATCACCAAATTCTACTTCCAGAAGGAATAGCTCCAAGAAGACTGCCTATCTTCATTCCTACCCTATACTGTCTCCCTTCCTTGCTGGCCTTCCCCAGCAAGGAAGACCTTCCCTCACTCCTGGGTCTAGAAATCCCCATCTTTTTTCCATTGCTGGCCACCCAAGGTAGCAGTGCCATGGGTACTGTCATCTCTGAGCCAGCCCATTGAGGAATAAGTGTTGGACTGGAAATCAGGAGACTTGGGTCCCTGCCTTGCCACTTTTTACTTATGTGACCTTGGACAGGTAACTTCACTTTTCTAAATCTCAGTTTCACCATCTGTAAAATGACTAGGTTGGAGGAAATAACCTCTGAGATCTCCTGCAGCTCCAAAGTTAATCTGGTTCTAAGCTCAGCTAACAATGTGTTACCCGATTTTCCTTTCTCTGGATCTCAGGGTCCCCTGTCCATTCCTCAGGGAAAGCAAGCCTGCCCCACCAAGGAATAGCAACCCAGGAGAACATTAGGAAATGATAAAGGCTCAGATCTGTGAACTGGGCATTTTGGTTTTTGGGGGGTTTTTGTATGTCTTGTGACATCCTACATCATGCTCCAATAAATCGTTGTGTCGGCTCTGCTATATAAATTTCTTCCCCGTCTTAGGGCAAAGAGCGTATGAGGAAGACACTGAGGTGGGCCATACCCAATTCCCAACACACTTAGTGGCTTTGCATATTTCCCTTTCTGTTCCAACCCTCAGTTTCTCCTAGATAAAAAAACGGAGTTAAAGCTCTCTAGGGGAATTAAGGTTGCAGTGTTCTGGAGACAATGGAAAAACCATAGTCAGTGTTGTAGGCCTAACATGATACCGAATGACTCCCAAAAAACACATTCTACTTTGAGCAAAAAGGGCAGAAGAGGGGCATGCTATAAAGGTCTGAGGACTATTAATAATCAGTGTCTTCCATTTCTTGGGGTTGGGAAGACGTATTCAGACAGAGGTACTACAGCCACATTGAGGGATCCCTGACATAGGATGGGTCCCAAGTCACAAAGAAGGTACTTTATCAGCCCGATAGATTCCCGCCCCCCACATCCACTCCTAACAATCCTTTCCTTCTTGTGGCTGGGGAGAAATCAATATTTTTCTATTAATATGGATATTATATATTTTTTATTGTAATCCATTGTATTCATTATCAGATTTATTAGAGTATAATTGGGCAAAATAGTTCTTAACAAATTGCTAATTTCATCTTTTCTCTTTTTCCATTTTTAAGTATGCTGATTTTGTTTTCTCCTTTTTCGGAACAAACTAGCTGACGTTTAGCTCTTCATTATTTTTTGTTAATCCATTCATAGTTGTATTTATGGGTTTTTTTTGTTTTCAACTTTGTTTAGCTCTTCTTTAATTTTCAGAACTTATATTGTTGTGTTTATTGCTTTTATAGTATATTTAGTAGTATTTCAATTCCTCGATCTGTTATTTTTCTCTTATGTTGATAAAAGAATGTGGAGATAAAATACTTCAATAAAAATTGCTGGGAAAACTGCAAAGCAGTCTGGTAGAAATTAGATATTCACCAATATTTCATGCCATGTACCAAGGCAAGTGACAAATGGATACATGATTTAGACATGTAGGATGATATAATAAACAAATTAGAGAAGCTAGGTGGCCTAGTGAATAGAGCTCTGGGTCCAGAGTCTGGGTCCTGAGTTCAAATGTGACTTCAGACACTTCCTAGCTATGGGACCTTGGGCAAGTCACTTAACCTCTATTTGCCTCAATTTTCTCAATTGCAAGATGAGGATAGTAATAGCACTTACCATTCCCTACAAGGGTCATTGTGAGGCTTAAATGAAATAATATTTATAAAGTGCTTAGCACATATATGTGCCGGGCACAAAGTAAGTCCTTAATAAATTCCTCTTCTTTTCCCCTCTAATGGCAGTTAGCCTGGGGAGGAAGTTGCTGTTGTACAAAGTCCTGTTTGTCCTGTCCTATTTATAGCCTGACCAAGAGTTTTCCTCCAGCATTCATGGCTGCATTATATGGCACTGGACCCATTATAAAACCACTAAGTGTGAGGCAGCTAGTTGGCGCAGTGGATAGAACAACAGCCCTGGATTCAGGAGGACCCAAGTTCAAATGCAGCATCAGACACATAACACTTACTAGCTGTGTGACCCTGGGCAAGTCACTTAACCCCATTTCCTAATCAAAAAAATAAAATAAAATAAACCACTAAGCGTATCTTGTCCAGAGACTGGTGAAAATAGGAATTCCACACGACCAAAAGAAGGACTAATTTAGACATTTTTGGTATAAAATTCAGCTCTCACAAAAAAAAAAGTGAGGTGACTTTCTTAGCTGGGTTAACTTTAGCAAATTTCAACCCAGGCTTTAAAAGGAATTTCAGAGAAGCAATGAAATAAATGTCCACCAGGGGGCAGGCCTTCCTTAAAGAACAGTTTCATAAATCCTGGATTTGTATTTACCTCTCAGAAAGGATCTTATATCAAAGGTTCTTAACCTTACAGCATCATGAGACTTTTGGAGTCCGATGAAGCCTGTGGACTCCTTCTCAGATGGAATAATAACGTTAAATGAATAAAATAAAATGCAAACAATAACAATTGAAGCCAATTGTAGTGAATACAGTCATCAATACATATATTTTAAAAACAAGTTTATGGACCAACCCTATTTGGGGTTTTCTTGGCAAAGATACTGGCGTGGTTTGCCATTTCTTTCTCCGGCTCATTTTACAGATGAGGAAACTGAGGCAAACAGGGTCAAATGACTTGCCCAGTATCACAGCAACTAGTAAGTATCTGAGACCAGTTTTCAACTTCTTGACCCCGGGCTGGGTATTTATCCACTGTGCCACTTAGCTGCCCAATGTTTATATGTACACACCCATATATCTTATGCGTATACGTATGTACAGGTTTAGGCATGTGTATATGTCTATATGCATATGTATGTATACATACATGGGTTTATATGGGGGGGTGTACACACCCATCTGCCTTTGAGATGCTTACATGACATGATATGTATACAGATAGATATAATTCCAGATATAATGGGATGGGGACAAAGGAGAGACAGAGGCAAAGTGCTTTGAGGACAATTTGAGAAGAGAAAGATCTCTTTCAGCTGTGTGGGAAGGCCAGTAGAGGAACTGACTCAATTGAGCACAACCCCTGCCCTCAGGGAGCTTATAACTGGGGAGAGGAGGGATAAGATGCATGCATCCATAATTAGAACATATAGTGATCATAGGAAATAGAATATAAGGAGCAAATAAAGGAAGTACAGATACAACCTAAGAAAGGAAAGGTTATTTCCAATCAGAAAGGATGAAATCAGGGAAGGCTCCATGGAGAAGGTAGCTTTGGACTAGATCTTGAAGGATTTAGATTTCAACAGACAGAATTAGCCTAGGGGAGGAGATAGGAAAGGGGAATTCTAGGTGCATTGCAGCATCAAAAAGTGATTCACAGTGCAAGGTAGTAAGTGATAAGTTCCATATCACTGATAAGCACAGAAACTCATTACCTGAGGAAGTCAAGGCAGGCCAGTGGGAGTTTGGCCTGTGAGCTGCAATAAAGGTTTTGTAGTGAAGGTGGACCTTGAATTGGGCATTGAAGGATAATGCAATAACTAAGAACTCACTCTGTAGTGAGTATTTGCAAAGTGGATTTAATTTGAATAATAATCTTACTGTTGTACATAGGATTATATAATATTTAAGTATAGAAAAGATAATGTAGTTTTCAGTGTTATTAGAAGTTATGGAGGAAAAGCAAATAAAATGAACCCGAAAGGATGTGGTCGAAATGTGAGTCAGGAAATCCAGTATATTTCCAGAAGAGAAGTTAATCACGGTCTAAGAAGATACATAGACAGGCCTAGAAGAACATAGAATCATAGATACAGGGCTAGAAGGTACCTGTGAAACTGTCTCATCTGCCCTCTCATTTAACAATAAGGAAGGTGAGGTCCAGGGGGGTTAATTGACTTTTTCAAAGTCACATTGACTATGAATGACAGTAGACAGCTCCTCTGTATATGTATGTATGTATGTATGTATGTATGTATGTATGTATGTATGTATGTGTATGTATGTGTGTTTCATGTAAAATATGTGTATACAAACACACATATGTAAATTGGACCAAGAGTTCCTTGAGAGCAGAGACTGTCTTTTGCTCTTCTCTGTATACCCAACACTTAGCACAATGCCTGGCACATAGTAGGTGCTCAATAAATGCTTTTCATTGATACGCACACATGTACATATGTGTGTATATTTGTGTGCACACATATGTGTATATGTAGATATTTGTATATGTAGATGCTATGTCATTAAATGGCATAGCATCTGTTCCATTTAAAGGAAAAACTGACTGAACCACAGAGAGATCTAGACAGTAAAGCCATAATTATTTGCAATGCCTGTTTTAGATCCAGACAAATCAAACAAAACAAAATAAAGAAATTAACATCCTAAACAGATTATTAAAAAATTAGATAGATACTTTGGTGATTACTATATGGGAACTATATAGAGCAAATTTATTTTTCTGCTTTGTGAGGTACCAAAAAGTAATTACTGTAAGAAATAGAGAAAAGAACTCATGAATAAGTACAAAAAGGTAGAAGCAGTACAATGAAAATTTCAATCAATAAGAGAAATTTGAAGAAAGACTTCAGATTTAAGTGATTACTAAATTATGTAACCCTAAAGAATCCTTCATTGTGGTCTTGAAACTCATTCTGCAAGATCACATCAAGCCTGAAACTCAAACTTTATCAGTACCCACTGTCTCTGGGTAGCTCCCCCACACACACCCTTCCTCTAATTAGAGAGCTCCTCCCAGACCTTCTATTTAAGGAGGGTGCTCTGGGAAGTCATCTCATCATTCCCCATTTGGCTGCTCCTCTCTGGACTTTATCATACCTTGGCCCCCTGATACCTTGCTTCCCTCCCCGCAACCCCACCCCCTGCATTTTAGCTCCGTTTTACATGTTGTTTTCCCCCATCAGATTATGAGTTCCTTGAAAGAGGGATTGTTGTTTGTTCTCTTTGCATATACAGCATTTAACAGAGCGTATGGCTCTGTTGTAGATGCTTAATAAATATTTATTGGCTGCCTGAGTAAAGAAGGAGTGGTTAAAGAAGAAATCATAAAGAACAAATAGTAATATAAAAATGATAACAATGAAGAGACACTTAAAAAAAAACCCTTATGGGATGCAGCCAAAGCTGCCCGTAGTAAAAATTTTATATCTCCAAACATTAATGTCAGCAAAAGACCAAAAGAAAAGCCCAGTGAATTGAATGTCAAACTGGAAAAAAAAATTACTAATTCCCAGAATAAAATAACAATTCTTCAAATTCAAGAACTTAACAAAATTAAAAACAGATAACTATTTTTAAAAATATTTTAATTAATTTACTTTAATTTTATTTATTAATTTTTATTTTATTTATTTTTTATTTATTTTTATTTTTAAATTTTGAGTTTCAAATTCTTTTTTTCCTTCCCACCCCTGCCCACCCACTAAGAAGACAAGCAATACGATATCAATTATATGTGTGAAATCATGCAAAACATATTTTGATATTGGCCATTTTTTTTAAAGCAAGGAAAATAAAGCAAGTGAGAAAATTATACTTCAGTTTGCACTTGGAGTTAATCAGTTCTCTCTCTCTGGAGGTGGATAGCATTTATTCATCATGAGTCCTTTGGAATTGTCTTGGATCATTGTATTGAAAAGAGTAGTGAAGTCTTTCACAGTTGATCATCATTACAACATTGCTGTTACTGTGCACAATGATCTCCCTGTTCTTCTCACTGCACTTTGCATCAGTTCATATAAGTGTTTCCATAAAACAGATAACTACTGATATTATAAAGACATTATATTATATTGTAAAGAAAACTGAGCTGTTTTCGTAAGACCAGTAAAATAGGCAAACTATTAGCTAATTTGATTTTTTAAAAAGAGAGAGGAAAACCAAATTACTAAAAAATAAAAATGAAAAGGGAGAAGAAGG